TTCCTTATGCAAGTGGATTATCTTATAATTAATCTCCTCACAAATGGTGGCCTCTGACTTCTGGACAGAACTGTACTTATTTTGGCTTTGTCTTGTTTTGTGTGTATCTCTATTTTGTATGTATGCTATATAGCTTATAGCTCCAAATCTTAGATCAAACCATAAAACCCACGTAAGCGAGAATAAGAGTGAAGTAGCCTGAAGGAGTTCCAGTTTAGTTTGGCCTGAAGCCCGACAGCTGTGCTGAGTTACTGCTGGACCATTACTGTAAGACCAAATTACTCCAGCAGCTGCGGCAGCCAAGCGTTTGCGTGCTGAGTGGAGATTACAAATGAGGAAAGACATAAAACTGACCACACATTGACTTCCTCTACACTCACACACTGCAGAGAGACATGCACCCACACACACGGCACTGTGCAAAAGTCAAAGACCCCCCTCATTTATTCAATTTCCAGTAAAAACAGCCATTAAGTAGAGGTTATTCATTTTTCAGGAGATATTTCCTAAGAGATTGGATACTAGATAATCTACTTGCATACGAAAATTGATGATTAAAACCTCCAGAGAAAATGAGACTCCTAACAACCACCTGGAGGACCTGGTAGACACCAACACTGCCCCCATCAGATAAACAGCACTTAAAGCTTTCATCTCTGAGAGAGAGGAGAAAATCAAGCTGCTTCAGATCTGAAAACATCCACAGGTGTTTCTGTCCATCCTTCCACTGTGAGAAGACGACTCAGCGCTGTGGGTCTGAAAGGATGTGTAGCTGATCAAGAAGAACCTCACTGAGAAAAGGAGACAGACACATCAAACAAAGAAGCTGAACAATGGACTGACCTCCCCAGAGTCCAGACCTCAACACCACTGAATGTGTTTGATCACTTCAGAAAATGATCAACCAACTTAGACTGAACTTTGGAGGTGTGTCGGCAGATTTACTTGAGGAACTGTAAGTAGGTCTCCTGAAAAGAATGGAAGCTGGAATAAACGTGATGAGTGACTCAAATACTGAAACATTCATATTATATTTAGCTCTTCAGACTTCTGGGTAATTTTCTGTTACATATGTGTTTCTGCTTTTTCTCTGATGCTGAAAATGAATAACTTGTGCTTAATGACTGTTTTGACTGGAAACTAAATGAATGAATGGGGGTCTCTGACTTCTGTACAGTGCTGTATACGAGCAAAACACACATATTCACATAAAAACATATGTATACACTCCAACACACACTCACTCTCGCTACACTTGGGCCAGACAAAAAAAGGCACAGTCACTCCCGTCCACACACACACAGCACTGTAATACGGTCTCATGTAAAGACGTTACAGAGCTGTAGTTTATGACTGTTTATATAAACTGAGGAGCTCTGAGCCTGTTTTGCTAATGACACACACACACACACACACACACACACACACACACACACACACCGAAAAGGTCATGGTGAATCAGCACAGTCACATCACACCATAATGTATTTGATCACACATCAAATACATCTCGAACAAGTCTTTCTATTTAAGTACCTTCTTTAATCACAGTAACACCACCGTCTTCTAAGGCTGAACGATTTGGGGAAACTATCTAAGTGTAATCTTTCTGACTAATATTAAACTACAATATCTTATTTTCTATGAATTACGGTTTAGGCCTGTTTGGTTTGGTTTAAGCCAACAAGACCACTTTTCTGGCTTGATGCTTGACCCCTGAATGGAATATGCCCATAGATATACGTACCTCAATGCCGCGTTGGGTCCAGTCAGGCACGTCAACAGCGCCGCCATTTTGGGGAGGTCAACATCGCTGCTGGACTGCATTCAGTACCATTACAGAGCAGCAGTTTGATAAAGATACTGTCCGAAATTACACTATTTCAAGAATATCACTCTCAGAAAGAGGGATAGGATTATATAACGGAGGGAACACAGCGATCCACCCTCATGTCTGTGTGATGCGTATTGTTTGTGTGATGTTTATGTAGATATGGCCGTGTGGTTAATGAGGCACAGAGAACCTGTTGATGTGATTGTTTTTCTTCTGGTTTTATATTTAGTTTATTTCATTTAATAGTCTATTCAGGGGATCTTAATTTATGTAGTAGTTATTTATTTACAGTGATGGTTAATGATTTGTAGCGTAAGTTATAGTATTCCTTAATCCGTGTAGATATTCATAATAGATGAATAATAATAATAATAGATTAACGTTAGAACCTTCATACATGAACCTGAAGTCAGCTTCTTATTTGCCAGCATCTTGAACAAATTTTCCCGTTCCACCTTAAGTGGTGCAGCAGTCACTTTCTGGTGCCTGAAGCTGCATCATTTAAGGTGGGACAGGAAAACCTGAACAAGAAGCTGGCGGATAGGAAGCCAACTTCAGCTTCGTCCTTCTTACTGTGTTTTGGGGTGTTTATTTTATTTTTATGTGTATTAAGACTAGAAGTGATTCACACATTGATGGATCTGCTGATGTGTCTGATTGTGTTTCTCACGCTAAACTCAGTTTTTAAGGTCAGGTTCAGACTGAATACTTTGTTGCTGGTCCAGTCGGCTAATTATCACAATCAGTTACTAAAAATATAAAAGCTACCGAGAGCAGATCCGTGCAGCCTGGATTAATCTGTGTCTGAGGATTATAGCTAAACAGATTTGGTGAAAATCGGTTGAGTAATAAGGAAGTTGTGGCTGATTTAATCCTGAGACTCTTCGTCTCTCACTACAAGTGAATTTGTTCACAGGCGGATCTTGACCTCTCCAAAATGGTGGACGCGCAGACGTATCGCCTCAATAGAGAACAGCAGACAACGCAGCATCTAGGTGTGTGTATCTATGAGTGAGCCAAACTGTCTGTTAATTGTGGTTGTGATGTCACAACACATGGAGGTTTGGTGGGATCTGATTGGTCTAACTATCTACAGGCAGTTCACAAGCTCTGTGTTATTAGGTTAACTTTCCCCATGTGAACCTTAAGACAACGTTTTTAAAAATGTAGGCTATAGTTTATATTATTAAAGCACCGAAAAGGGTTCTTCTACTGTTACGATGGAGGGCTTGTCAGCAGAACCCTTTTTGGTGCTATATAGAACACATATGTGCTGTATACAACACACTCTCCACATTCTTAAAAAAGATGGTTCTTCAAGGGATTTTTAGTAAAGAAAATGGTTCTATATAGAACCATGAACACTCAAAGAACCCTTGCATGATTCTTCGCATCATGAAATGATTCTTGAGACTGATGGAGAATATGCCTTTCTGAAAATGGTTATATATAGCACCCAAAAGGGTTCTTCTGCTGTTATGATGTCAAGCTTGTAACAATAGAAGAACCCTTTTGGGTGCTTTATAGAACCCTCTAAATAGAATCATGGATATCACATTCATGCATGAAGAACCCTTTCATGATGCAGAGAACTTTTTAATCATGCACAGGGTTCTTTGAGCGTTCATGGTTCTATTTAGAACCATTTTCTTTAGTAAAGAACTCTTGAAGAACGAAAGTGCATCAATCTGAAGAACCCTTTCGTGATGCAAAGATCCCTTTAATCATGCCAAAGCGTTCTTGGTTCTATATAGAAACATTTTCTTTATTAAAGAACCCTTAAAGAACCAGCTTTTTTTAAGAGTGCCTCAACCTGTTCGTGATACAGTGACCCCTTTATTCATGCAAAGGCTTCTTTGAGTGTTCACGGTTCCTTATAGAACCATTTTCTTTACTAAAGAACCCTTGAGGGACCATCTTTTTTAAGTGTGTACAGCGCAAATAATTATTTGCTACTTCATAGATTTACAAGAAATAGTAGTTCCACCTTAATGTCAACACGTCTGTAAGAAACTAGTGATGGGATGAGTTTATTACTTATAATAACTTTTGTGCAGATCTGCATGGTTTTGCAGAGAGGTGTATGAAGTGAACTTAGTACTGAGAAATCCTTGTTAGCAAAAATGTAAAGGATTATAAAATGAAAATCAATTAAAAATTCTAATTTCACTTTTAGATCCGATTATCACACATATGACCCCAAAATACAACCAGAAACATAAAAAAAAAGAATCCCTTCAGACGTTAGGAACGTTTTTTCCTTATTCTTTGAAGTTGTCAGCGTTTTCTACGTCAGTGATGAACTGTGACCATCATTTTATTCTGATTTATAGCTTCTTCTCACCGGACTGTGGGTGGCAGTAGGTGGAGTGCTGGTTGCACTGGCACGGCTGACAGCCTTTACTGCTGAAGTGGAAGAATCCCGGGTGGCAGTCGTCACACTTGGGTCCATACACTCCTGTCTTACACACACACGTCCCCGAACTGAGAGAGAGACAGTGAGAGAGAGAGAGAGAGAGAGAGAGACAGAGAGAGAGAGAGAGAGAGGACAGTCAAAATCAGCTGAATAAATATACTTCACTGGGTAGTGGGGCAGCTCCACACTAACCTTCCTTAAGAATCAAATAAAATCTTTCATTATAATGAAGCAGTCCGTCTGTCTGTCTGTCTGCCCTGCGATGGACTGGCGACCTGTCCAGGGTGTATCCTGCCTTCCGCCCAATGACAGCTGGGATAGGCTCCAGCACCCCACCGTGACCCAGAAGGTTAAGCGGTTTAGATGATGTATGTATGTATGTATAATGAAGCAAAGTAAATTAACAGTTCACACAAACTGAAGCGATGACCAAGTGTATCCGATCATCCTCTGTACTTCTTCCATTTGTTATAGCGCGCTACATTTGTTATAACACACCACTACAGCCTCTACACTGGGGACCTTCAACTACACACACACCCAGCCAGCTTCACACGCCTCACCACATATTCACGAATTCTCAATAAGTTCGCAAATCATTGATTGTGTTTACATGCACTTGAAAATCCAATAACTGCAGAAAATCTGATTTTGTCAGTAATCCAATCACCACGTTTATATGCACTTGAGTAATGAGATCATGTGAAATCAGGCAGTAATCAGATTTCTGCTCTGCAACCAGCCAATAAACTCACAGAAGAAGACGTGAAGTAAACGTAATGTAAAACTCAAACTTCATGCCGCGACTTTTTTTTAAAACATCGCATCACTTTACCTAAAATATGAACAAACATCATCTAGAAAATGAAGAATATTTAAATCCTTCATTTCGTCAAGCATGTAGTTGGTTTCAGAGTCAACGCTGCTCGCTTATTTCCGGTACCGCAGTCTGTTTTCGCACAAGCGAGTAAGAGCTCACATGCACTGAGAAATCTGATTACTGAGCTAAAATCCATCTCTCCTTGTCGGATTTCTTAATCGGATTTCTAGATTGGAGTATGGTGTTTACATGACCATTTGAAAAATCGGATAACTGCAGAAATCTGATTATGATTAGATTATTGAGTGCATGCAATACCTAAATGCCGCCTTGGGCTCAGCCAGGCAAGTCAATGGCGCTGCAATTTTGGGGTGGTCAACAACACTGCTGGACTGCATTCAATACTATTACAGATCTTAATTTATGTAGTTATTTATTTACATTGATGATTAATGATTTGTAGCTCGGTAAGCATAGCATTTCTTAATCCGTGTAGATATTCATAATAGATCCATGTTAGCACCTTCTTACACTAACCTGAAATTAGCTTCTTATTCGCCAGCTTTTTGTTTCAATTTTCCCATTCCACCTTAAATAGTGCATCAGCCAGCATCTTGTTCAAATTTTTCCCGTTCCACCTTAAATGGTGCAGCTTGAGGCACCAGACAGTGACAGCTGCTCCATTTAAGGTGGAACGGGAAAACTCGAACAAGAAGCTGGCGATTAGGAAGCCAACTTTAGCTTCATCCTTCTTACTGTGTTTTGGGTGTTTATTTTATTTTTATGTGTATTAAGATTAGAAGTGATTCACACATTGATGGATTTGCTAAAGTGTCTGATTGTGTTTCTATTCACACTAAACTCAGTTTTTAAGGTCAGGTGCAGACTGAATACTTTCCTGCTGGTCCGGACGGCTAATTATCATGATCAGTTATCAAAGAAATAAAAGCTACCGAGAGCAGATCCGTGCAGCCTAGCATTCCTTAATTCATGTAGATATTCATAATAGATTAACGTTAGCACCTTTTTACACAAACCTGTGCAGCCCGGATTAATCTGTGTCTGAGGATTATAACAAAATGAATTTGGTGAAAATCGGTTGAGTAATAAGGAAGTTGTGGCTGATTTAATCCTGAGACTCTTCGCCTCTCAATACAAGTGAATTTGTTCACAAGCGGATCTTGACCTCTCCAACATGGCGGACGTGTAGACGTGTCGCCTCAGATAGAGAACAACAGACAGCGCGGCGTCTAGGTATGTATATATCTATGATGTAACAACCATTTTGATTCATTTTTCTGCAGCTAGATGTTCAAACCTGATGGGTAGACACGCTTCACTCACTCACCATAGCCTCAGTAAATCAGTTTCGACTGATATCACGGCCCTAAAACACGGACATAAACGGAAATACAACACTCGGTTCAAAAGAATGATCCATTCGCTGTCTGACAGCAGTATTATCGTCCAATCAGCAGCTAGTGTTGATCAGAAAGACTAACAGCTGTTCTGTTTCACTCCACACAAAAACAAGTGTTTTACTTTAGTACTTCCGACACACTAAACCCCACAAACACACCCCAACACACTCAAACTGTCATCCCTCCCGACATCCTCACACAGACAGACAGTGTGCGTATGTGGGTCAGTCTTGGTCCAGACAGCTAACCGCCCTGCTTTACACCGCAGACATACGCGCTTCAGAGCCGTCTAGACCTCTCATCTCTAATTCAACCCTTCCTGTACAGTTCATCACACGTGTTCAACACGAGGAGCCACAGCTCCAAACCTCATCTGGAGACACTCAGACGGAGAGCTTTTCTCTGTTCCTCTTCTGCTCCACATGTTCAGAGTGAGGCTCTAAGACTGTAACACACTCAACAGCAACTACATTAGCATTAATAACAGCTGTATGCTTCTGTATAACATGCCATTTACACTGAATAGCTCAATACTAAAGCGTGATGGGTACTGAAAGCAGGGATGGGCTGTAAGTGTGATACATGGATTTGGTATATTTACATAACTCCTTAACCTGCAGGCTTATTATTCAGATATTAACATTAAAAATGATTATTCAGTATCTAATATTAATTATTCAGCATCGAATGTAAATTATTCAGTATTGAATATAAATAAATTATTTAGTATCTTCTACAAATTACTTAGAAATCACAACGAATTGTTCAGTATCAACTATGACTTATTCATTACTTATTTTTCAGTATTTTCTATGAAATATTCAGTAACAACTATGAATTATTCATTATTTATTATTCAGTATTTACTATTAATTATTCATGCCCTAGTATGTATTATTCAGTATCTACTTTGACTTATTCATTATTTATTATTCAGTATATCCTATTCATTATTCAGTATCTACTATGAATTATTCAGTAACTACTATGTATTATTCAGTATCTACAACAAATTATTCAGTATCTACTTTGAATTATTCAGTATTTACTATGTATTATTCAGTATTTACTATAAATTATTCAGTATCTACCTTGAATTATTTAGTATCTACTATGTATTATTCAGTATCTACTATAAATTATTCAGTATCTACTTTGAATTATTCAGTATCTACTATGTATTATTCAGTATCTACAACAAATTATTCAGTATCTACTTTGAATTATTCAGTATTTACTATGTATTATTCAGTATCTACTATAAATTATTCAGTATCTACTTTGAATTATTCAGTATCTACTATGTATTATTCAGTATCTACTATAAATTATTCAGTATCTACTTTGAATTATTCAGTATCTACTATGTATTATTCAGTATCTACTATAAATTATTCAGTATCTACTATGAATTATCTATTATTCATCCATCCATCCATCCATCCATCATCTAAACCGCTTATCCTTCTGGGTCGCGGTGGGGTGCTGGAGCCTATCCCAGCTGTCATCGGGCGGAAGGCAGGATACACCCTGGACAGGTCGCCAGTCCATCGCAGGGCAGACAAACAGACATATACATCCACACACACTCACACCTAGGGGCAATTTAGCATGTCCAATCAGCCTGACTGCATGTCTTTGGACTGTGGGAGGAAACCGGAGTACCCGGAGGAAACCCACGCAGACACGGGGAGAACAGGCAAACTCCACACAGAAATGACCCTGGTCACCCGGCCGGGAATCGAACCCAGGCCCTTCTTGCTGTGAGGCGACAGCGCTACCCACTGCGCCACCATGCCGCCATGTATTATTCAGTATTTACTAAATTTTTTTTAGTATTTTCTACAAATTACTCAGTAATCACAACAAATTATCCAGTATTTACTATTAAATATTCACTATTTATTATTCAGTATTTACTATGAATTATTCAATGTCTACTACTAATTATTAATGTCTACTATGAATTATTCAGAAAGCTTATTGAATTATTCAGTATCTGTTGCAAATCCTCATGCACTGTTTTACAGTAAAGAGGTCAAGCGACGTGAAAGCAACTTAACAGAGGTTTTGCTTTTCGTTCTGACACTTTTGTCACTGTGGAAAAGTAATGTGCCCTGTGTTTCACTGTTTTCACGGTTATGACTGCATTTCAGTGAAGTGAATTTGTTTAAGGTACACAGTGGAAAGCAATATAGTGGTGCATTCACTACACTTGAAGATGGACTGTATTCAATTCTGCCATGAATTCAGCATTTCGTTTGTAAAATCCTCATGCTTGCCTTTCAGTGAAGCGTTCAAGCGACATGAAAACAATACAGGGTTTGTATTAGTGACTGCTTTTCAATTTGCCACGAATTCCTCTCCATAAAGTACTACATCACTCATTCTTTCTGATGATCGTGGAAAAGGTAGGCAGTTCCTTTGAAATACTTTACTATTCAGATTTTTTGTATTTTTGAAGTTACTGAAAGGTTTTTTTTTCTGCCTAATGGTGCAAATATGCAAATATATGTGCGTGCTAAGTCAGTAAGTGTTTCACCCTTTCGTTATCAACAAAATATATGAATGTATTTATATTTATATTAATGTATTATTGTATTTTTGTAGACCTGACACTGTAATTTATCACAGTATATGATATATTTTGGTTGTAGTGTTTTTATCTCGCTACATTAAAACTGTGTGAATCTCGCATTTCATATCAAAACAGCCTACAGTGTGATGTACTATGGGGGGAGGGGGTGTGAAGGGGAGCCATAAATTCCGACAAGGTCGTGTTCTCCTGTCTCCCTCCAGCTGCGAGTCATCAGCCCAGCTGCTGAGT